CTGGCGGCAACCCCTGCCCCGGGCCTACAGCTCCCAGCATGCCCCAGGAACCAACATGGCTGCCCAGCAGCCCCTGCCCCAGGGCAGGCCCCAGGACTACAGCTCCCAGCATGCCCCGGGAACCAACATGGCCACCCAGCAGCCCCAGGAAGGAGAGAGGGATGGGAGCCGGACAGAGGGATGGCGAAAAAAGTTTGGAGCTGGGCAGGGAGTGGAGAAAAGAAACCCCCGGTGAGAAGCAGGCACAGGACAGGGAGTGGGGGAGCCAGGGCAGGGGCAGGGGGTGGCTAGGAACATTGTGGTGAGCAACAGGACACAGGGACAGAAAGCAGAGGAGGGTAGAGGAAGGACAGGGGGTCAGAGCGACACAGGCTGGGCGAGGGAGTAGGACAGAGGGAAAAGGATGGGAGGAAATAGGAAGGGCAGAGGGAAGGGAAGAGGTAGGGACAGAGAGGAGTAAACAAGGAAGAGAAGCAAAAGATGTGCAGAACAGCCAGGACTGTGAACCAGCAGCTCAGTGCCTCTTCTTTCAAAAGGTGTGAACACTGCAGCTGATAACGCCAGAAGCAGCTGCACGTGCCAGGGGCCTACTGCTGCCCCATTGTAATGGAACTGTTCTTGCCTTGGAAAGAAGGGCTATTGTCTGTGTGTAATTAGCCTCCCTTCCATCAAGTATTTTGTTTTAGTGCATGACAAGCATTATGTTAACATTTAACCTAAGCTTAAAGACAGGATATCGTGGCCACCTGCACTATCCGTATAATCAAGGACAAAGGCTCCTTCTGGAAGAAACAAAGGAAAGTTGGCAGAAGAAAGTAGCCTTAAGTTGTCCTTAGGTGACATGTGACCATATGTGGATGAAAGCAGTTAGGGTACTTCACCCGGTAGGACCACCAAGGACCACCAGAAGAGGAAGACACATGCAGAATAGGTCTGAAAAGGAGCCAAGAACAATGTCACCACAATGTTATGCAACTCACGTAGATTAGAATGAATATGTACTAGATAGATAGAATATGCATGAATTCAATGTGTAAATGTAATGGAGAAGATGGCACCGAGTGTGCTAGATTTGTGGGAAATGCACTGAGCACCCAGGCCTGAATAGAGCAATATCTCTCCTGGGTGTGTGAGGCTTGGCGTATTGCACACTGGGTAAAGAATCCGCTTTTCAGACAACACTGTCACCTATTCCACATTCGGTGACATCAGAAGAAGCGTCACAAGCACGGTGACCTCACATACCCCATGAGCTACTCAGGAACATGGGACATCACCAGCACCTGCACAAGCCCAGGGCCGGCTCCGACGCCAACAACTACTCCGGCACCAGTGACCTCATGAGCCCCTGCACAGCAGGAGCCTCCTCACTGCCCACACCCTGGATTTTTCACCTCCACCTCTATCTCCCACCTCCACGTGCTCACCTCCCTCCCGGGCACCTTTCTCACCCACTCCATGGCCTCCCAATGTCTCTGTCTGTCTCAGTGTTTGTGTGGCAGCTGTTACCTCAGAAGCACTGTCCCAGCCGGGTCACCTGCATCTCCTTCT